AAGAGTGACATGTGGCATGCTTGAATCTCTAAATATGGCATGTGGCCATGCATAAATCCTCCATATGCCACGTGAGCCTTTGGTGTCTTAAGAGAGGTTTTTGTGAAAAATTATGTAGAAATCAGAATTTTTTCTCCCTTTAACACCATATAACAATAATTAATTATTAATACTAATTAACAAGAGTTTAAATTAATAATATTACCCATTAATTACTAAGACAACGGTAAATTAATTAACACCGTCATAATATTAACGTACACATCAACGTTTAGAAATTTTAAATACGTCGAACTCGGAACGATTACATTTTCGAAAATTATCCTCCGCGCCTCACAAATTTAAGGTCCAACAATGATTTCTACGTGTCCACACGAAAACTAAGCTAAATAATACTTAACTTTATAATCTAAGTATCATTATCGAACACGGAAAATTTTCAATGTCACATACATATTATTACGAAATTTTCGGATGTCCAATAATAGACATTACTGCAAGAAACTACTCTAATAGCTATTACAACAGGTATTGAGCCATAGACCTATCATAACCATTACTGCAATCAAACGTTCTGTTTGATGATGATTTATACATTATTGAATGTTTAGCCAAGTATAACTTGAAAGTGGGACTGCGAGTTCAAGCTGCTCCCATGTGGTTGAGATTGGGCTGGGCCTAGATTCTATTTTGTTGTCAAAAGCGCTCAGTTGTTGTGGGTAAACGGGAGGGAAAATTGTCCAAAAAATCATGAACCTATTGTACGGAGGCAATTCAGTCATAAATCTTTTAATTGTGCTAACTTAGTCTTAAATATTTTGATAATTTTTCAATGTAATTATTCCCGTCAAATATCCAAATAATAGGTTTATGACTAAATTGACAAATCTTCAAAAGGTGTAGGACAATTAAAAGGTTTATGATTAAATTGGCAAATCGTCAAAAGGCTTAGGATTAAAATGGCACAATTGAAAGGTTTAGGACGGAATTGGCCACGGTACAATAGGTTTAGGATTTTTTGAACAATTATCCCATAAGCAAGAACATCTTTCTAGCTTGCATATTCATAGAGTAGTCGGCCTGATATGCAATGATTCGAATTATTATGCTCCTTAAAAGGAATGGGACGAGGTTGATTTGATCGGAGATTGTTTATGAAAGTTGATACTTCCAAAAGGGATATTTTTTTTTACAAGATGCACCTTAACTTCTTACAAATTATGGAGAATGTATTTCATGTAATGGTTACATCATGTAACAGTGTTACGTGGTGTAACAAGCCAATAGAAAGTAAGTGATTCTAAGGCTCCGTTCATTTGGCGGAAAATATTCTCCTTTTGGAAAATATTTTCCTGGAAGTCATTTTCCTGGAAAATGTTTTCCCGGAACATAATTTTCCGGTGTTCGGCGACCAATATGAAAAAGTTTCGGACAATATTTTTCGCCGGCGACCGGCGGCGGCAGCGGCGGCGGCGGGCGACCAGCGGCGGCGGCCGGTGATCGGCAGCGGCGGCCGCGGCGGCGGCAAAGGCCGCGACCCGGCGGCCGGCGGCAGCGCCGGCGACCTTAGTGAAGAAGAAGAAGAAGAAGCTCCGGAAAATGATTTCCGCTTTTGAAGAAGCGGAAGTCATTTTCCGTAGACTTAAGCTATTTTGTGAGGGGGGGAAGGAAAATATTTTCCCACGGAAAACGTTTTCCGCCCCCCGAACACCGGAAAATCCGGAAAATATTTTCCGGGAGAATATTTTCCGCCAAACGAACGGAAGCTAAGATTTAAGTGCTATGTAGGCTAGTGCACCTTGACATATGCTAACTGCTGACGGGGATAATTCTCTTTGGTTAGGCTTCCCTGTATTTTTTCGACGGTAGACTTGTGGTTTGTGATGTTATGATGTTAAAGGGGTGTTGTGGTCTCATCTCAACTTGACATGATGTGGATGTTGGACTATTGTACCTTTACATCCATTTTCAAATGCGAGAAAACACGTTGTGTTTAGACCCGTCCATAATCATCTATTCGGATATTACCAATGAAAATAAATCTAATTACAAAGTAGATTATGCTTAAAATTGCCGTCCTTTTCGCATTTGTAAATCGTATTAATGCACGATGTATTCCCTGAAGTTCACTTTCAGTATATATATATAATGTCAAACTAATCCAATTATTGCGAATTCAAACATTTATACCCCCGACTAGCCTTGCTTGACGAAATGTACAAGCCTTAAGAGGGTGGTTGTCAATTCGCTTTATACACAATTGCAAGCAACTCTCTCCTGCGGGACCGTGCGTTATAACTTAAATCGAAGCTTTTGCTGACAATTCAAAGGGGTTATGTAAAAAAAAGAGCATCAATTTTACATCGAGGGACAATTCTGATCCGAACTTTTTTTTGTCCTGTAAAAAAGCATCAACTTTAGGTCGAGTGACAATTCTAGCCCGAACTTTTTTTTGTCTCGTAAAAAATCACTAACTTTTACTATGATCCCAAATTTGGCCCCCCATTGACTTTCTGTTTGAATTCACCTTTGTTTGAGCAAAAAGGTTATGGTGGTGAGCTTGAAGAATCTTGTTTATGGCGTCTGTCGATGGGCGGTGATCTACAGCTTCAGATTATGACAAAACGATGAAATCTGGTCAGAGAGATTCAATATGGAGATATTTTTGACTTGTCAGTGAAGTGAAGAAGACGAACAGTTTCAACGTTATTCTTCAAGCTGTGGCTCAGAGAATAAGATAATGAATAGTGCTTTAAATCCAATCAGCAAGTCACGTGGATTTATTGCTAAGGTGGAATAATCAAGTTGGATAATCGATGGTTTTAAATTAACGGGAGGCCAAATTTGGGATCATGGTGAAAGTTTGTGCTTTTTTAGGAGACCAAAAAAAAGTTGAGGTCAGAATTGTTACTCGACTTAAAGTTTGTGCCTTTTTACGGAACAAAAAAAAGTTATTGTCTCTCGACCTAAAGTTAGTAGTTTTTTTATGGGACAAAAAAAAGTTCAGGACAGAATTGTCCCTCGACCTAAAATTGGTGCTTTGTTTTGGAATTAACCCTCCATAACACCAATTGATTGTTCCATTTTTCGAAACTCATTTTATTACGTGCTTTGTTGATGATGTACCATATTTGCTTAATTAAAACTCGGAGTACACTTGTCTTTTCGTGACCCGTGTTCTTAGTGTTTCTATTGGTTTACAAGTCGTTTTTATCACTCAGAAAAATCATTTTACCCGTTCATAATCATATCCTTTGGAAAAAAAACGAAGAGCATATAAAAGTGACAGAGCCAAAGTTGCATGTCGAAGTTGCTCAAACTTACATTGCGTTGTAGCTATAAGATGAGCAAACTGTTCTTATTTAGATGTTAAACCATTCGAAAATTGAGAGTACAGTATATATAACTAGCAAGATGTTTGTACATTGCACGGTTATAAACTTATATTTGTTACACGGAAAAATAATTTAAAAAGTTATATATATATTCTTGACCATTTTAATTATATCAATTGAGCCCTAAATATTTTCACGCTTTTCTAATAAAATTCATCCGGCTAATTTTGGCTAGAAATTACTAATGTAGACATTGGCCATCCTACGTGGTATAGCCGACATTCACATGAACAATATATTTTTTAATATTTTAATATTTTTTTGGAATTATTTATTTATCTTCTTTTTCCTTTTTTTTTCCTTCTCTTTTCTTTCTTTTCTTGTTTTTTTTTTTTATCGTGGCCGACGAGGGTTGTCGGGCCCTTGCCACTGCTAGTGAGGGTTGCAACGCCCTCGCCCAGATTTGGGCAAGGTGGCCTCGCTCGCGGCCGGCGAGGTTGGCCTCATCCAAACCATCACCGGCTGTTCCACGTAGAACAACTGGTGTCCGTTCCACGTAAAACAACTGGTGTCCACGTCAGTAATTTTCGGTTAAAATTGGTTGGATAAACTCAATTGGCAAAACATGAAAATATTTATGACTCAATTAGCATAATTAAAAATTTGAGGACTGAATTAGCTGGAAAATTATCTAAAAAGTCCTAAACCTATTGCACTTTTGCCAATTCAGTCCTAAACCTTTTAAGTTTGCCAATTCAGTCTTAACCCTTTTCACTTCTTGCCAATTAAGTCCATCCGGCCAATTTTGTCCGGCCGGCACTGACATGGCCGCCGGCAGTCCGACCAACGCTGACATGGCCGTCGACTGTCCGGCCAACGCTGACATGGCATTTTTAAAATATTTTTTTCGAATTTGTTAATATTTTTTTTTGCCTTCTTCACTCTAGCCGGTTTGGCAACCGGGGACTGGGGACCGGCCAAAGACGCGAGTCGACAAGGACCTTGCCGGCCTCTAGCGAAGCTCTCCCCCGCTGGCAGCTGGCAAGGGCGAGCCTCGCCCACCGCTATTAGGCTGACCTCGCCGTTGCTGGGTGAGATGAAATCCAGCGACGGTGAGGTTAGCCTCGCCATGGCTAGGCAAGGTTGATCAGCGACGGCGTTGGCCGACCTCGCCGTCGCTGGGCAAGGTGACGGCGAGGTCGGCCTGGCAACTACGGGCTAGCCTCGCCCTCGCCAGTGGTCGGCGGGGGTGAGCTTTGCTAGAGGCCAGCGAGGACGACCTCGCCGGCCAGAGGGAAGAAAGACAGAAAAAAAAAAGAAAAAAAGATTAAAAAATTCGAAAAAAATATTTAAAAAATGCCATGTCAGCGTTGGCCGATCAAAATTGGCCGGATAGCCTCAATTGGTAAGAAGTGAAAAGATTTAGGACTGAATTGGCAAAGTGTAATGGGTTTAGGACTTTTTAGATAATTTTCCCATGAATTAGCAAATGTACAATAGGTTTATGAATTTTTGGATTATTTTCCCTTTGTTACGCTATTTTGAATGTTGGGTTATCGATTTTTTCCAAGAAATATAATATGCGAACAATCATATCAAAATAAATCTTCACACCAATTAAGTTCTCCGTTAGGAAAAAGGAGAGGAAGAGAGAGAAAGGGTATCTTTTTAAACGGCTGTATTTCCCTCTATCCTTAATTGAAAGAAATTTTCTCCATACATGTGTTGGATTGGTGGGTTACAATTTAGGACTGATATCCATATTTCTAATCCATCAATCAGAGCTATGATTGGAAGAAATTTCCTTCACTAATCTCTAATTAGTGAATTATAAATTATGAACATCATCTACATTATTAAGCTTGCATGTGGAGGATGGTGTGGGATACTATTACCATGCCACAGTGTCCATCTGATGTTGCCATTCTATTGACTGTTGAAACTATGTACTTTTTTTTTTTTTTTGGTCGAAGTTGAAACTATGTACTTCAAGCAGGCTATTCTCTAGCTTGAACTAGCGAAACAGGTGCCGGCCAAGACATCTGTTAAAGTCGCAAACAAACCGAGATCATTGTGGAAACAAGTTCTTAGGCTGGAAGAGACCTGCACTTTCAGCGCTTTCAGCGGAGCGTCCCCACCGCCCTCTTATACGTGTACCACCTTGCTACCAAGAGAAAAGCTCCCAAGTTGAGCACGCTGAGGACCGCCAAGAGCCAAAAGAAGTAATGGAGGTGACCGTAGTTCAAATTGTCCGGTATCCATCCCAGCTTCCCGTGTCTTGTACTAATACCTGTGACGATAGTCACAAGGAGCGAGCTCAAGTAGCTTCCGAGCGCATTTGTCGTGAGCTGGAGAGCGGAGCACATGCTCCTCATGGCATCGGGCGCTTGCTCGTAGAAAAACTCCAATTGCCCAATGAACGTGAACACTTCTGCACAACCGATGAGGAAGTACTGGGGGACCTGCCAGAATATCGACATCGGTACGTACTTGTAATTGTAGTAGTCATGCCTCCTTACCATCTTAAGTCTAACGACCTCTAGTATTGCAGCCGATATCATGGCGAAGATGGATATGAGGAGGCCGATCACCATTCTCTGCAGTTGGGTCAAACCGCTTTTGTGACCCGTGAATCTCCTTGCCACTGGAACAATGATGCGGTCGTATACAGGGACCCAGAATAGGACGCTGAGGACATCGAAGATAGAGAGAGAGGCTGCTGGAATTTTGAAGCTAGATTTTCCAACGTGAGGGTCCATAGTATAGCCTTGTAAAACAAACAAGGTACCCATCTGGTTGGACACAGTGGAAAAGACGATTACCGTGGCCCATACAGGAAGCAGCCGTATGATCGCCTTTAGCTCCTCCACTTGGGTGACGGTGCACAGCCTCCATGGATTCACGGGTTCCTTAATGTGATTTGTTTGTGTTTCCACAGCAGCTTTGTCAAAGAAACTGCAGATTTAGAGAATGCAAAGAAACTAATGTTAGGACAAGCGAGTATGCTCAAGGATATCTTGAAATGTAAAGCATCCTAACATTATTATGAAATGGTTCAACTCATAAAGTAGAGCAAATGCAGAAATAAAATTTCACCACTATAAATTTGATGAAGATAGCAAGTCTCTTGAGGATCAGAGTTGATCTTAGGATTTGTATCCTAACTGTCTCACATAAACAGCAGTATAACCTTGGAACTAACAATCGTGCAATTGATCCAATATGTGCTGCACGATTAAGAGATATATTGGGATTGCTCACTTTCAACCGACTCAAGTGACTGACTAATTTAACCTGAATGAATTGAGGAATCCTGATCAAAGAAAGGTTGAACAGAGCAATCACACAGATGCAATTTGAAGCACTAACCTCAAATCTTGGGTATGATCAAGCTTGCGGCTTCCTTTGATTACAGACTCAGCGTCCGCAGTCTCATACAGGAGAGACTTGTCAGCCGGTACTTCCACTCGATATTTTCTGAAGGATGCCACCACCACTTGACAGAGACGCGTGAGGGGGCTCCCTCCAGGCTTTTGGTTACGATAAAGGCGAGTGCCCGAAAAGAAAGTACATACTGCAATTGCCATAGCAGCTGCTGGAATGGCGAAACCCAATCCCCAACCCACATTGTCTTGTATATAGACCAAAACAGAGCCCGCAATGAGTGCGCCTATATTGATTGAGAAATAAAACCAGTTGAAGAAAGAACCCTTGCGTTTCTTTTCAGCCTCATCAGCATCATCAAATTGATCGGCTCCGTAGGATGAGACACAAGGCTTGATCCCTCCAGTCCCCAGGGCTATGAGATAGAGCGCTATAAAGCACACTGTGCTTTGGATATTCGTAGCGTGGCAATTATCTTTCCCTGTACAGGTTGGCTTTAGTCCCGTGACTGATGCCGAGAGCGTCAGCAGTGTCATCCCCTGTGTATAATGATATAATAAGTAAGGCTTGCCGAATCTTGATCGATTGCTAGAGTATGCTATCAGTACTGGTCGGTAAGCTGAATTTGTGAATGTTCAACAAAGAATGCGGAACCCCTCATTTGTGCAGCACAAACTGCGCAGGTTGACTATCAAGTACTCAGATGAGGAAAAAAATGTAAATGCGACTTACAAGAACATAGATAATCGAGAAGCATGCTATAGTCCAATATCTCCCTAGATAGGCATCGGCGAAAAAAGCTCCAATCAAAGGAGTGATGTAGCACGTTCCTCCCCAGTTCGTAACATTGTTAGAAGCGGTTGTACTGTGTTGATGTAAGCGGATCTTGAAGTAAAGCACCAGATTGGAGCTCATGCCATAGTATGCCAGCCTCTCACAACATTCATTGCCTAATGATAAGACATAGATACCATAAGCATCTTCGTTCTGTGAATAAGGTTCAATCAAGCTCTTTTAAGGAAGTGGTTGTGTGAAGTACCTAGAATAAAGGGGCAGGCCTTCCATGTTCCAGTTTTCTTTTTGTTGGCAGGGTTGCCTTTGTAGTCCACCGTTCCATCTTTCGTGTAAACATCTTCTTCCCCCATGGGTTTTGGCGATTCTCGTCTCTGCTTTGATTTGTGTCAATTTGGAATCTCGACAGATGGTTGCGGAAGCTATAATGTCTTCAGGCTGCAACAGAGAAGCACGATTCACATAAAACGTTTCTGCCTTCATTTCTCTACAAAGGCGAAATCACTAAGGTTCCATTTGTGAAAGAGCCACAAATCAAGAAATATGGTCAGGTTCGCCAATTCAAATTTCACTAAGTGAATGAAAATTCAGCTCATATATCTCTTAATCTCGATTCTAATCTTGCAAACGGACCCACGAACGGCACCATCTCTCATGAAACAAACGGCAAAGTTCAACAACTTCAGAAGCAGATCAGGAAAAATGCAATAGTTATTCCAATACAATCCAGCATGACTAGTGTAAATAACTAACTAAGCCAACATAGTCACGAGTTGAGCCTGCATAAATGACTGAGTAAAAGTAGATAATACTGCGAGAATCTTCATTACCAATATCACACTTTGGCCAGCGAGCAAGCGAGCTCGAATTGCTTGATATTAGCACCCTTACTCCCGATGCTTGTGACTAGCATTTATGGCCACATAAAGGGACGATGAAGATCATACGCACTAATTTGACTTTCTAAACATTAGTGGATTGGACTAATGAAGATCTTTTACTATATTCTCTCAGAGTTGCAGCGTGAAGGAACTTCCATATGATCGGGAAAGTTGGCTAATCAAGAGTGCGCCCACACAACTCATCCCGCTGGTTCAACACAATTACAGTACAGTGATCAGCTCAAGATGTGGCTGGAAACGACACACGAGTGTTCACAGAACTTGAAAGCTCAACAACCGGGAACTCAACCCACGAGTTTTGACTGACCGTGACTGACGTCAAACAGCGCAGCTCATTGCTTACAGGACCTGCAACTCTCGCCTGAACAGCTCGCCGAAAAGAGAACAGCAAAACAGAAAAAAAACTGAAACGCTCTGCGAGGTGGTCATCGTCTCAAGGTCAATGGGAAACAAAGATAGAGCAGGCCATGGAGACCTCAAGCTTACCCGCGGCGTCGGCTTCGTTGTGATGCTCGGTGCTCCGAGAGGGACGAATGCTCATCAGCTGTAATATATGGGTTTTGACCCAGTTCAAAAAAAAAAAATCAAAAAGTCAGAAAGTCAAAAGTTGCTACAGTGATGCTCTGTTTTTCTAATTTAAGCCGAGAGCTTGCTCGGCTGAGCCGAGAGCTTGCTCGGCTGAGACAGAAAGAAAGGAAAAGAAAGAAAGAGAGGAAAAGAGAAAGAAGAAGAAGAAGAAAAAAGAAGAGAGAGGATTTGGTGTCACAGGGTCTCACCAAGCCGATTCGACTTCGTAACGTAACGCCCAATAAGTGCTCGCATCTCTCGTTCATTCAATAGGAGTATTTTTCGGGTTAGTGCTCATATTTCGGAGTTATGTGATATTTGAACGGCAAAGTCCGATTTTTGAGTCGTTGAGCTATGAATATATATAGAATTGATAGTTTAGGGTGTTGCGGGGCCGTGGGATTTTATGGAACTCGATTTGGACTTACGATTTGCCGGATGTGAATTTTTGAAGTTGGCCGCATAAGGTGAACAGTGCGCGACCAGCGGCTTTTAGGCCAATTTTCGTCGGTTTTCGGCTTGATTTTGGGACAGCCAAGTTGGGGTTCTTGTAGTGCTCTAAATGGGCTTTCTATTGACTATAAGCTCGCTTGAAACGGGATTCGGTGGAGGAATTTATAATGCGATCAAGCTTCGCGCTCAAGCTCCGCGTTGTGGAAGGTTTTGGATAATCGCTTCGGACAAGCGATTTGTGGGCGCCTTTGAATTGTCTTGTTAGCGTTTAAGCGTCGTTTAGCCATTTCGTAGTTATCGTAGTATTTTACTTGGTTTTGACGTCGATTCTCATTTAATTGTTAGGATTACGAGATCGTCGGTTCGAGTGAGCGTCGTTGTTTGATTTTTGGGGATTCCAGGTGAGTGGTGCTATCTCTCCTTTGGTTTTATAAAAATCATATCTTGAAGGAATTATGATTCGATATAAATATATATGTTGAGCTTAAAAGAGCATTTTGTTGCATAAATTGGGATCGAGCATTTACTACTTTTTAGTATTTGAGAATGATTTGGGAATCGTTTTTGTAAATGTATTGCGCAAGGATACATATGTATATTGCGTTATGAACTAGTTTATGAAATGACTTCGAAAATGATTCAAGAAATGCCGAAATGCATTTCTGGAGGTTGAGCCGTGTTGCGAGAAAGTTATTTGTTTGGTTTGTGAAATGTATTGTGGATTTGATTTCTGATATTTGATGATGGTTATTTGATGCTCAATATGACCGTGAACCCATTGAGGGGTTTGGGGATATGCATACCGAGTTTAAGATATCCTTCTGGGCCGAGCCACCGGCTTTGTAGGTGAAGACCTTGCCAAGGGGGGAATCATGGTAGCCTTGTCACAAGACTTTGTGTCGTGAACATGGTTAGATATTGAGCAATAGATTGATCGATGGAATGGACTATCGACGTTTGATGTGATATGAGATTCATCAATGGAATAAACCATTGATGTGTGATTTGAGATTAGTCAATGGAATGGACCATTAACGTGGTTTTTTAATAAAGATTGATCAATGGACTTGACCATTGATGTTTATGATGATTTAAATGAGTATTTTCTGAATTGTATAAAACTTGTTAAAATGAAACAACTCTTCTGTGACTCGATATGTATTTTATATCTTGAGTTTGGCTCTTGAAATTCTGGTATGACTTTATGTATTCATGCATAGTGGTTGCTCGATCTGCTTAGAAGAGATACGTACTGCTTACTGAGCTGTGGTTGCTCACCCCTCTCTTTCCCCAATCTTTTCAGGTTCTTTGGTTAGTAGCATATAGAGCGAGAGCGATGTCGTGGGGAATTTTAGGTGGTTTGAGGCTGCGTCCTTAGGTTGGAAGGACAGCCGTGTCATCCCCCATCCTGGTAGGTTTCGGGGTGTGACATCAGCGATCGGAGATTCTCCTGCAAGGAAGACAGTGAGGACGACGGTGGTCATTTTGAATCGCCACCATCGAAGGGAACGAGGGGAGCTTTTATAAGCTCACACCGTTTCACTTGTGCTCGCAGACAGTCAGCTTTGCTTGCCAAGCATTTATCTCCTCATTTTTCATCTCGTTTTTTTTTATTATTTCTTTTTTGCGGGTTATAAAATTTTTATAATAGAAGTTCAATATAGCCAATCGCTCGCGCATTGCGTCTCCGTGGCGTTCCTTGACGCTGACCATTTTCTCAGCACTTCGGGGAAGCTTAGGATGGACCTGTAAAACAGCTGTTTAGGGATGAATCTTTTGGACCGATACTGATTTTAGAAGTTCATTATTATTTCTATTGTTATATTGCATCGTGTGAACCCAAGAAGTTATGAGAAAATGACAATAATGATGACAATGATTTGCCGCGAGACTTGGGACTGCCAAAGATACCAATGTATTCTGCTTGCTCTTGTCACTGTCATCATTTCGGATTCCAATTCCATCACCCAGGTCACTTTCTTGCCATTAAACAAGCCCCCATAGAAAAATGGTACCCAGTTCGATTCCTTGGATTAATTAATGTTTCGGAGGGGAAAAAAATGGAAAAATAGAAAGAAGAAATCACCCATTAGCTGACCTAGCTGATGGTTTGAGAACGTTTTTGTGCTCGAACACCGGTACGACACTGATTCACGTTCCTCACGGATGTGCGGTTCGCGTTTTGTTCAGATCTATGCATCAAGTCGCGCTGCTGCGAATGTATGATTCGCGTTCGTTCGGTACATGACAAGAGACAACGTGTTGAACGGTGGTTTTGTTACATACGTTTCTTCCTTCTCGGTTGAGCAGTCCAGGAACGTCATTGTGAAATCAGTGCAGTTACCAGCTTTGCAAGAGGAGAAGCGTTTGTATGGCATGGTTGGATTGAGCTGGGCCTTGTCTGTTTGATCTTTAGCTCCTTTCGTTGATTGGGTAAGTATCGAAAGAGGACATTGAAAACGAGCATGGACCAAACCAACCTCGGTGGAACTTCGAATTGTCCATGAAAACGACGAGGGCAGACCAGACGACGAAGAGGGTGGGGCAGGGAGCGGAGGCGTTCCTCTTGGACCGTCGGAGGATCGAGAATGACGCGTTCAGACCAGAGGAAAACGGCAAACGATGTCTCCATGGGGCTTGTCCACCTCTCATCTGGTCTCTCTCTCTCTCTCTCGAATGAATATCTCCACAACTTTGAAAACGATGCCGGAAACTCTCTCAATCATCTTCCAGTTCAACACCTTTAGGCGCAGTTTAAACGGCTATCCACACTGAATGCATCTATTCGTACACACGTTAGGTCGATGTCTAGATCCGTGATTGGACCGATCCGATCGTAGTTTTCTTGATGAGTACTCTCGACTGAGCAAAAGGGCCAAGGAAATCGGCAGAATTTGAGGTCGCGGCCACGACGTTGATGTGGTGCGCGCGTTTTGCTTTTGTGTGTGGTTTTGGACTATCTCATGAGTTAAAGAGGGATTAGAAAAGGATGTAATCATTTTTAAGACTATTTAAGACCTGCATCGTGCCTCGCTCTATTCAAACTCCAGCCATCAGCAGGCCTATTACTTTTCGAGGGCTCGGACAGAGACCAGCTCGTTCTACCTGTGGGGTTAGGTTTGGCTATTGCTTAGCTTTGACTATGACTTCACCTCTCGATTCCACGGTCCGTTTGGTTGCAATAATCGAACAAGGTTGTAAGGTAATAGCTATAAAGTTGTCTGGCTTGAGTACAACTGTTTGACTTCATCAACGACAAGTATCATAAGAACATGATGACATCAAAATTGTTGAGGTTGATGTCTTGTATTCTGTTATCCAAGAGATTATGAGGCGGTTCCGAAAGGCCCCCTGACGATTGGACAGCACGGGGGTCTCGCTCCCCGGTGAGCGGGTGAGGGTCCGGGGGGGCCGCCCCGGCGGGGGTCGCCGGGCAGCCCCCGGGCCGCCAGAGGCGTTTTATGTTCAGTCATAGAAGGATTTATATGGAAAAGCTAAATATTTTAGGCTATGTGGACAACTTTGTAATTTGTGCCATGTAGGGTTTCGCTATATATATTTAGGGCGAAATAAGTCTCTAGAATAGAGACAGGGGGTGAGAAAGAGTGGCTGTACACTTTTCTATGTTATTAGTGAAACAGATCTCTTCTCCCCGTGGAAATAGGTAGGCGGAACATCTCCCCTGCTGAACCACGTAAATTTTTGTGTTGTGCGAATTTCCATTACTTTCTTGCATCGTTGATAGGATCGAATTTAGATATTCGACAAAAATTTCCAAAACATCCCTAAAATTAAAATTTGAGGGGATATAATAATTACCGCTTTAATAATGAATCATGATTAATGGGAATGATATTCGTATAGATTATTAGATATGCAATTGCAATCTATCGTACGGAGAATCTATTTATATTATCGGAATTTATATATGATTACGATGAAAAGTAAGCACGTAACATGTGATTATATTAAAATAAATATTATGTTTATTACTTTTATTACCAATGTTGAGTGTAATATATATTTAATATGTAATTATCATTTATTTATGATTATGATTTAAATTTAATCATACTAATATACATATTGTTCAAATTTAATCATATTAATATTCCGTTTGTTTCGCGGAAAATGAATGATTCGAAAAATATTTTTTAAAAAATAATCGCTTATATCGCTTGAAATAATTAATTAATACAAAATATTTTCATTATCAACAATAATTTATGTCTAAATATCTTCATAGACGATGAAAATATTTTTCATTCATCTATATTTGTAAGCGATAGAAGTGATCATCTTTAGGAAAATGTTTTCTAAATTATCCATTTTTCGCCAATCAAACGGAATTTAATTATCATTAGTTTTGAGCATCGTGTAGGCCGACGCGAGAACATCACATAGACCGATGTTCGAGCTTCCTAACCCT